GTCACTATTAAGAGCTATCTGGTCCCCGTATAACCAGTGAAACCTGTGTCCTTAACACAAAGCTGAGCTTGTTCCCAGTTCTGGTTGGATGCCACCAGAGCCCCGGCCAAGACGATGTTTTCTTCCTGCTTTATGAGCTCAAAGACTCTCATCACTGTTATGTCCACGCCATGCAGTTGCTGCTTTTCTAATGTTGCCCAGCAATGATGCTCTAAGCAACTAATCAGTAAAATGTACATCTACAACTGATCAACTTTTGAAGCCAACCTCAGAAAATCAAGCAAACACATAAAGGGCTACAACGTATTCAGTTTTACAGATGGTGAACTAAAATTGAATGAGGTATTAGCTGACAGTTATTGTTAACTCATATCCCGAGCACTTGCCTTTTAGTTAAGTACTAAGTATGATTAGTACTAGGTCTCCCTCTGTCTCCTGACACATTTCCCTCCTCGTGGTCTTTGACTAACAGTAGCACAGTTTCCACCAGCACCGGTGGTGGTCGTTGTTAATTCGGGCCTTGACCGATCCGATATGATGTCTCTTAGATGAACTCGCATTATAGTTTTGGGAAATGTGTTTTACATCAGATGCCCTTCCTGACACAACCCTTACCATTTACCCGGGCTTTTACCCAGACTTGGAACCCGGGCTACCCATTTACCCGGCTTGGGACTGGCACAAGAGATACACTGACTCGTGCTCCCTGGTGGCTGTTTTGTTGTTGTTGTTGTTGTGTTTACTTTTTCTAAATTAACGCAATTCTTGCAAAAACACCAAATTACCAAAACCGTATCATTAAGTAGTAATGATATCTAAATGAGTTATTAAAATACAGAAACATTTTTTTGTTTGTTTTAGCTTTACTAAAATGTATTCCAAAACGATTAAAGCTATTTATAATTACCAGTTTCTCCCAGTTATTAACCATTTCAGCGCACGGTCAAAGTTTGATGGCAACACGATCGAGACAGAGTGAGATCAATGCAATAAAATATGTTAAAAACGGCTTTAGTTGTTTGGGTGCAAATATTCTGGCCTGTCTTTGTTTCTGCTCGCAAAGTTCGAACCAAAACAAAGATCCTAAATCTGACCGAGTAAGAACTGGGTATGTGAATGTTTTCACATGAGAAATGTCCACACAAGAAACATGCTTCACATGTTTGTACCTGTGAAAATGTGATTTTCACATGTGAAATTTGTGTTTTTTTTTCTGTGAGCTGAAACGGACTATATTAAACCGAACTGGGGTGAAACAAGACAAGCTTGCAGTTTTCTTATAAATCTGAAGCCAACATGAGATTACACGATGTGGACCTCAAGTTATCAGACTGAGGAAAAGACAGTCAGGGGTGCATAAAGGTAAGTGCTTTACAGCTGGTGATGTTCAGGGATCGAAGGGAAAACGGACAAGGTGAGTATTTGTGGTTCTTTGGGTTGGAATGAATATTATATTTTGCTTGTGGTTGATCTTCTTCTTACTGTGTTTGTCTTGAAGAAGGAGCCAGAGAGGAGGGAGAGACAAGGTTTCCACAGGAGGTGAGATGAGCCAGAGGGGGCGAGTATGGTTGGAGAGGAGCGGGTTGTTGTTGTTTGGAGGCTGCTGATGCAGGTTGATGTGTGGATGGTTGAAGGGACAAGATGATGACAAGGCAAAGTCACACGGAACGATTGGAAGACTTGGAGGAGCAGGACTTGGAATCCGCTGGAGAAGATGATCACAACTGGCTGTTCATTATTTGCCATAAGGAATCATAATGTTCCAGCATCTGGCAGGAGTTTATATCCTCAGCAGAGCAGTCTTACAGATCAGGTGCAGGTGTGGTGGCTGATTAGGATGAGTGGCAGCTGTGGAGAGAGTGAGTGCGGCTGGAAACCTATAGGAAGACCCACAGAAGCATTCTGGTACATGCAGTTTTGTGGTTTATACGTGTACCAACAATGCGAGAACTGCAGTCGTACTTCGCTCTCACATGTTGAACGTTCTGGTATCAGGTCCATCATGTTTCATGAACATGCATGTTAGGCGTAGATTAACCCTAGTTCTATTAAAGACGCTGCATAATAAAGTGCATGAGAAAGAACAGATTCACACAACATAATAAAATGACACTGCTTCGTTCACTTACATGCATAAAACAAGCTGATGGTTAAAAATAAGATCTGTCAGCGTTCATGTAGTGGAACATCTTAAAACACCGACTCCATAAAAGTTTCGGTAAAATTCAGATTTTAAAAAAATAATCAACTCGTTTTTTTGTACCACAGCTTTTTCACTGAAGGGATTAACAAAAAAACAGTTTTATTGTGTGAAAAAGACATTAATAAACACAACGAACTCTGCGCATGAAGTAATATTCTAATGGGTTTTTAAAATTAATTTTATTGACTGGTAAATTACTTTTCCTTGCTTTTATAAATGGAAATTTCTATTTAAAGATGGATTCTCTAAAGTGAACCGAACACCCCCTTTTTTTTTCAGATAATGTCAATTTAATTGAACTTGTTTGATCAATTTAAACCAACACTGTCTTTGGGACAAATGCACAAATTGATGTTTTGCACACCATAATAACCAGACTGTATAAATTCAAACTGTGGGTAATGAGTCACATATTTGTTTAGTTTTATGCATAACATGCTGTCCCTGATTCATGTTTGTTATTACAGAAAAATATATAGTATTGGTTATTATGTTGTGATAGGAAAAAGATTGAATTTTGATTAAATTGACTGCAGATTACATGAAAATATGTCGTCTGCTGCTTTGTAAGGACGTGAAATTCCATTCAAAGCATCTGCATTTTGAACACGCTACACCATTTCTGCTATAGATGAACGGGATTAAAATTGCATAAACGTTAAAAGCTGGAGTAAATGGTGGCTACCATATTATAATCCTGCAGTTGTTAAGGCTAAAGTGTAGTCAAAGACAAAGGGATTGATAGTCCACTTTTGTCCTTGAGTGAGAGAAAGGGATTGAGTTTATATGACAGAGAGAGAATAGGGTGGAGCGGGGGACAGAGAGATAATCTCTTTTGTAGTTTTTTATCCGTAAATGTGGTGCTTTTGTCCCCTTATCCCAGCTACTTAGTTTCTGCCCTGCGTAAGTGATGCCACGCACTTATAGGCTGTAGAAAAGCAGGTCAGTATGACCATAGCGAGAGATGGAATAAAACCAGCATGTGCATCACATGGTTAGCCTTGGGATTATTGCTCACAAAATGTCTTAATTCCTCTGTTCGCTAATGATCCAGGGAAAATGCCCTCTAATCCCCATTCCATTAATTAAAAAGAGCATGAGCCCATGGAAAAACCTCACCATCTGCTGCTGTTTCATTTCTGTAGACAGATTGTGTTTTCAGTTTTTAACTAGGAGGGAAACGAGAAAAAACTAAGTACTTTCTTCTTTTTTTTTTTGGGGGGGGGGGGGGGGGAGGAAATGGGTGAAGCACATTCGGAGGTGAATGGTAAACAGATGTAACTCCTCTGTTTCAATGTCAGAGCGTTGAAATGTGGAGATCTGCGGTTTGGAGCAGCTTGTTGGAGTCAGCTTCGCAAGATTTTGCAACTCTGGAGTGAATAAATTGTCAGCAGGTGGAAACTTCAGAGGTGTTTGATGATAAATTCAGCTGATGCTCTTCTCAGATTATTTTAAATTTTAGGAGGAATCATGTATTTCTCTGTGTATCTGCAAAAATATATACAATTTTTTTTAGCATTTGTTTTATGAATGGTGAACCTTTTTAGCCATGTTTTATCACCTGCTGCTCAAAGATATGTGTTTGTAGGTTTGTCAGCAAAATATCTCATGAATATTTTCAAATATCTCATGAACCACTGGACATGAGACATTACGAGACCAGTTTTATGGAAACTTCTAGAAAATAATTATCTACAAATGATAAGCTTTATGAGTTTCCTCAATTCAAGATGGCCACCATTCCCAACTAACATTTGATAATAAAATGCTTTAAATATGTCTAAAGTGGTGGTAGTAGCTAAGAGTCATCCCCATTACATTAGCTGAATGCTATACATTGCATTATTTTATTTTATTTTATTGCTGAAAGCTTAGGCAGAAACTGTCACAGTCTGGTTTGTCTGTTAGCATAATATCTCATGAAGTTATGTAAGGATTTTAATAAAAACTTTTAGGAAATATTCATTGCATACTTCTAACACTGAAAAACTTCTGAAGCCAATCCAACTTGAGATGTCCACTGCAGTTTATCAGTTTAGTCTAATGCATAAATATATCACTCATCTATACAGACAATAAGCTAAAAAAACCTATTTGGTAAATACTTCAAGCACTTTTAGTGAAAGTGAATAACATTATTTTCAAGGGCTGATCAAAACAACTACAAGTCATTTATTAACATAAAATAATTTAGTTTGATGCAGTGGTGGGTGATCCCTTCAAAGAAAGCTAGACCTTTAATCTGAGTCAGATTTCCTAATCTGGTGTAAATATACAACTCAATAGAATGAATATGGCATAGTTGAGTGTGTGTTTCATCATAAATCCATATTAAAATTTCATTTCTATCTTTTTTTTTCTCTTTGATCATTTCAAGTATTTTATTTATTTATTTTATTTATTGAGCACTACTATTTCCTCTGTGGCATGATGAACTATTTATTTTCAAACACATCTGCCCATATAAAATTATGGATTGATTTTATTCTTGTTTTTTTTTTTTTTTGTTGTTGTTTTTCATGCAGAGCTGAAACTTCTCAGTTCTCTGAGTTTTTATCGGTTTATGTTCAATATTAGTTTAAACTGTCTCAGTAATTAAGTGTGGATATGATCTGTGTGCACGCGCGTATGTGTGTGTGTGTGTGTGTGTGGGGGGGGGGGGGGGGGGGGGGTCAAAGCCCTGACACTGGCACGAATTTGATCGGGGCTGGTAGTCAGGACAGATTATCAGAGCTGCTGTTGAACCAGCGGGGCCAATAATCATAAACACGCGCGCACGCTGACAGGACACGCACACATCAAAGAGACCGGCTCGCTCACATCTCCTCTCTGTTTGCTGCCAGACGCGCGGGGGGCAGCTCCAGACCCGCGGATGGGAAGTTTCTCTGCGCACTTTCTGACTCATTTCTCCTTCTTCGGGCTACAGATGGACGCGGCGAGGAGAAGAGCGCGTGGGAGATGGCTCCAGTTCGCGCTCTTCACTTGTGTCTTGGATGCAGTCTGCGGGCAGATCCGCTACTCCATCCCAGAGGAGCTGGAGCACGGCGCCTTCGTTGGCAACATCGCAGAGGACCTGGGCTTGGATTTGGATAAACTCTCGGCGCGCAGGTTCCGCATAGTTTCTGGCTCCAAGAAGCAGCACGTGGAGGTCAATTTGGAAAACGGGGTTCTGTTTGTGAATGAGAGAATCGACCGGGAAGAACTGTGCGAGCAGAGCTCCTCCTGCTCCTTCCATCTCCAGGTGGTGATAGAAAACCCTCTGGAGTTGTACAGGGTGGAGATTGAGATCTTGGACGTGAATGATAACTCCCCCAGCTTCCCTTGGACCGAGTTTAATCTGGACATCTCGGAATCCGCCGCGCCAGGATCCCGCTTCCCCTTGGAGAGCGCGCAGGACCTGGACGTGGGCTCCAACTCGCTGCGCACCTATTTGCTCAGCGTGAACGAGCACTTCCACCTGGACATCCAGACGCGCAGCGACGGCAGCAAGTTCGCAGAGCTGGTGCTGCAGAGCCCGCTGGACAGGGAGCAGCAGAGCGCGCACCAGATGGTGCTGACCGCGGTGGACGGTGGCGCGCCGGAGAGGTCCGGCACGGCGCAGATCGACGTCACGGTGCTGGACGCGAACGACAACGCGCCGGTCTTCGACCAGTCCTTCTACAGGGTGCGCCTGGAGGAGAACGCGCCCAAAGGCACTGTGGTGATCCGACTCAACGCGTCGGACTTGGACGAGGGTCCCAACGCGGACATCACTTACTCGTTCAGCGGCCACGCGCCCATTAGAGTGCGCCAGCTCTTCAGCGTGGACCCACACTCGGGCGAAATCAAAGTGAAAGGTGTGATTGATTATGAGAAAGCCAGGATGCACGAGATTTACGTCCAGGCCAAAGACAAAGGTCCGTCCGCTGTGGCGGTGCACTGCAAAGTCCTGGTCAACGTCCTGGACAAGAACGACAACCTCCCAGAGGTGATCCTCACATCTGTGTCCACACCTGTGCAGGAGGACGTCCCGCCGGGGACTGTCATAGCCGTGATCAGCGTTATGGACAGAGACTCTGGGGAGAACGGGAACGTGGACTGCGAGATCCCCCATCACGTCCCGTTCCAGCTCCACTCCTCCTTCAAGAACTACTACACCTTGGTGACCTCCGATTACCTGGACAGGGAGGCGGTGGCTGAGTACAACATCTCCCTGACCGCCAGAGACATGGGCTCCCCGCCCCTGTTCACCAGGAGGACGGTCCTGGTCCAGGTGTCTGATGTGAACGACAACGCGCCGCACTTCAAGCAGCCTTCCTACTCCGTGTATCTGACTGAGAACAACGCGCCCGGAGCCTCCATCTGCTCCGTGAGCGCGCTGGATCCTGATTCGGGTCAGAACTCCTACTTGTCCTACTCTATCCTGGAGGGGGACATACAGGGAATGCCCGTGTCCACGTACGTGTCCATAAACTCAGACAACGGCAACATTTACGCGCTGCGGTCCTTCGATCACGAGCAGCTGAAAAACTTCCACGTGGTAGTCCAGGCCCAGGACGCAGGATTCCCGCCTCTGAGGAGCAACGTTTCGGTCAGCATCTTTATTCTGGACCAGAACGACAACCCGCCTGTGATCGTGTCCCCTGTTGCGCACAACGGGTCTGCGCCCTGCGCGGCTGTGCCCAGATCAGCTGACGCAGGTTTCCTGGTCATGAAAATCAACGCAGCAGACGCGGACGCGGGTCAGAACTCGCGCCTCTTCTATCAGCTGCTCCAAGCCACAGACCCGAGCCTGTTCAGCATCGCGCTGTACACGGGGGAGGTGAGGACACTGCGCCACATTGAGGACAAGGAGCCCACCAGGCACCGGCTGGTCATTCTGGTGAAGGACAATGGTCAGCCGCCCCTGTCGGCCACAGCTTCCATCATCCTGTCAGTAGTTGACAGCCTGCCAGAGTCGCAGCCAGATTTGGATGACCTCCACAGCCCCGACCACAGCTCCAACTTCACCCTGTACTTAATCGTGGCTCTGGGCGCCGTTTCCTCCACGTGCCTGCTGGCCATCATCGTCCTGGTGGCAGTGAGGGCACTGAAGGGCAGAGTGTCCGGCAAAAAGTCCAGCTTCCCCTCCTCTTCCTCCTCCTCCGGCTGCTGGTGCTGCTGCTCTCCAGCAGAGCTCTCCTCCACCACCACGGAGGTGTTCAAAAAGTCCAACCTGAACGTGCGCATGTCCGCAGGCGCACCGGGCTGCGTGGAGGCGCACACCAACAGCGGCTACTGCTACAAGATGTGTCTGACGCCGGAGTCCTCAAAGAGCGACTTCATGTTCCTGAAGCCGTGCAGTCCCGTGCTGTCGGGCCAGCAGAACAACGCCAAGAGCACAGATTATCTGAACTTGGGCTGGAGCGCGCTGGACCGGAACGGGCTGTCCAACAACACAGCGGCCACACCAAACCAGGTAATAAGATAGAAAACGAGGATTCATTTGTGTATTTATGTATTTTTATTTAATCAAAGTTTAATGTATGAATTTGGTTTGAGATAAGACTTAATAATCAACCCAATCCCGTTTTCTCTAATCCTGTTGCCATCCAGCCTAAAGGATGGTAAACTGGTTTACGCAGAGCTAATCCCCAATTTTACCTCAGCTGGATGAATGAATGGATGAATGAATGAATGAATGAATGGATGGATGGATGGATGGATGGATGTATGTATGGATGGATGGATGGATGGATGGATGATGGATGGATGGATGGATGGATGGATGGATGGATGGATGAATGAATGAATGAATGAATGAAGGAAGGAAGAAGGATTTGCCAGTTGAGTGGAAATAGACCATAAAGAACAAAAGGGGAGATAACAAATATTAATAAGATAAATAATAAGCTAAACAATAAAATTGTGCCAACAATGAAAAATATGTGCAATAGGGTTTCTTCATTAATTTTTAAACAAACAATTTATTGCACTCTTTGTATTTTGTTCTCTGGTTGTCATTGTTGCTGATGTTTTGTTTGATTGCTTTTAATATATTCTTGTTTTGCTTTTTTTTTTTTTTGTCTGTCTGTCTGTTTGTTTTTGTTTGTTTTTGTTTGTTTGTTTGTTGGTTTGTTTCTGTGCCAGCAAAAATGAGATATTTTGTTCATATTGGTCCTCGTGTGTGTGGAGTTTAACTTTTCAGTGGGTCTAACTCTTTACCTGCCGTCTTCCTGACACCCAGAACTAAAACTGAGTATCACACTGACTGACCTCCATGAAAGCCTCTAAATGAAACTGATATGTGAGACTTTAAAAGCGCTCTATATTCATGTAAAGTGCAAACAATAAATGTTCTGTTTGTGTGAACTGAAAACAAGATAAGGTTAACGTCCACTCCTTCTTTCTTGGGTCGCCGGTGCCAAAGTCCAGCAGTCACTGTGCGAGGGGCGGGGGACACCCTGGATGGGTCTCCAGTCCATCACAGGGACACATAGAGACAAACGAGACAAACAACAAACAAACTCTCTCACTCACACCTAGAGACAATTTAGAGTTACCAATCAGCCTAACATGCATGTGTTTGGTCTGAACCAGGGTAACCTCCTCACTGAGAGGCAGCAGCTCTACCAACCGCACCACCATGATGCCCAGGCTTACATGACTCTACAAAAGTGTGGTCCAGTTACAGTTCCTTCTGTCCACAATATTTGAGACAACAAGACAAATAACCCACTTGGCAGCCACTTGGGAAGAGGAGTGTATGAAGACAGCATCAAAATGTTTCTGCTTAATGACTTCCTCAACAAAATTACATTATTTAACACTTTTCATTCTGATGATGCTAGTGGTGAGGCAGAGGTTAGAGAAGGTGGGCCTGTGATCAGAAGATCGCCGGTTCAACTCCCAGTACTGACAACATCAAAATCTGGGTGGGAAAGGTGAAGCACCCACACCTGTCTCTACCCTCATTTGCCCCACTCTGGGCCCTTGAGCAAGGCTCTTAATCCCCACCATCTGCTCCCCTAGGCACCCTAGCAGCTCTCAGCTCCACACAGAGGGCTGTGGTAGCTCGGTGGTCTGTGGTTGCATCAGGAAGGGCATCTGGCATAAAAACAATTGTGAAGTCTTCATGCAACAGTTCGCTGTGGTGACTCCTAAAGAATGGAGCAGCCAAAAGAAGAACAACAACAAACAAAAAATAAATAAGTCTGATTATACTGAGTTTGTAGAATATGAAAATAAATTAGAGATACATTAATTCCTGACTAGTCCTGGACATAGTTTGGGTTCGCATCCTTTGCTGCAAGGTGTAAGAAGAGTTGTAGTTTCAAAATATAAATCTTTTAGTGACACTCGTTTTTGTTTTAATACAGTTGAGAAAACACAAAAGCAATTCAGAAATGAGAAACAGAATCTATTTAAAATAAATGAATAATAATAATAACGAAAAAGAAACTGCAACCCATGGTGGACATGGTATAGAAAAATAAAAATGAGATGAAACTGAAAAAATAAGCAGAAGTAACAGTAAAGCCAATAGTAATGCAAAAAAAACAAAAAAACAAAGAGGTATCACTTTACAATAAGTCTCCATTTATAGATGGCTAATAAATAGTTTAGATACATTATTAGTTCCTATATAAGCACTTTATAAATTATTAACTGCTTATTATGCAATAATTAAGGGTGACAGAGAGACAAAACTGACCAGTTTGTTATATAGTGATCCAAATCTGTTCACCTATATATTTCATATTAAACATTTCAGACTAACACAATAAGCATTTGTAAACATATTTCTTTAGCATATAATAATGTACTTTATTACTGCATTATAAGTATTTACAACTTATATGATATCTTTTAAAAAAATAGGTTTACAAATGCTTATTGTACTTACAAGGTAGTAACTTAGTCGGAAATGTTCAATTTAACAATAATGTATCTATAAACTATTTATTAGCCATCTATAAGTGGAGCCTTATTGAAAATTGGTACCAAAAAGATACCAATTTTTTATTTATACTTTTATTTGTATAAAAGCAATACAAATAATTTCATTAAATTCTTTACAACTCAAATGATTCTTACATTATTTCATATTTATATTTTGTAGTGTCAAATAGTATCTATTTTTTCAAACATTCTTTTTTTTTTTTTCCAGCTCAAGTACTCAAACAAGAACTTGACATGGACCATGAACCAGCGAAACTCAGCTTACAAAAGGTGAATATCCAGATGTTCACACCCTGACCTGCAGTGTATGAGCATTTCTAATTCATTGTTTTGATCCTTTTTTATTCTTTTCCCAGATATAGCTCGTCAAATATGGAGGGAACTCTCTCAAGACAACAAAAAAACGACACAGACAGGTTTTCCTGCTCAGTGGCACCACAGTACTGGACCTGGGGAAACCATGTGAATGGTAATTTGGGCACATTATTATTCAAAGAAAAGGGGGGGGGATGGGCTAAGTACCAGAGGGTTTATCCCAAGACTTAAAACAGGAAACTAAGAAGCAGATAATACCAAACCCCTAAAGTGAGGATGGATTTAACCGCACCACTGTGAGAATTATTCAAGTCCCTCCAAGAAGAGCTATAAAAAAAAAATCTGAATTAGGACAAACTTCAAATATCACCATCTTCAGATCCAGTACAGTTCATGTTCATACAAGCTCTCTTCATGAAGGAGTTTCCATTCTAACTAATTTATGCACATTTTATACAGACTCCATGAGATCTATTCAAGAGGGAGCAGCTCCGAACTACTCATGGACTCCAAAGTACCCCCAGCCTTATTCTGAAGCGGCAGATTATCAACACAACGTGTACATCCCAGGCACCACGTCGGACTGCAGCGCTCTGAAGCTGACGCCCAGAGGAGAGCTGCACGTTTACAACACCTTCTCCACCTTTGGCAAGAAGAAAAAGTTCATCTCGCACTACGAGCAATCTTTTGGCCATGACGACGAGATCATGAGCAATTCTGTTTTCAAATGAACAGCTGTCTCAACTTGTGCTGGCTGAGGTAAAGCTGTAGTTCAGATCTTTTGAAGTGAGGTTCTGTGGAAAGGATATGAACAATTAACATCTTACCTGTTTCAGAAAGCTCTTTCAACAACCTCCGTTTGGAGAAAAGGAGTTTAATTTTGAGCTACATCACAAGAAAATGGCTGCTTCGAGTGGGGTTAAGATCACACTTTTAAAACTTTCTGAGCACCAGTCTAAAGATGTTAGTGGTTCGTGCTCTCATTGTTTTATAGACATTTAAATCACTGTCAGTTTAAAATGTGGTGTCATTTCTGTAGTAGTTTGATCTTATTTGCAATACACTTAGCGACAGTAAATAGGAGCTCTTATACACAGACAGAGGGCAACAAAAGCAGGAGGATAACAGGAGAGGGAAGAGAAAGCATCTGCCTCGTACAAGAGTGAGTGAGGGAAAATAAATACATGAGCATTTTAGATCAATTTTGAGATTGGAGTTGTTTCAAAACAGAAGCAAATCATTTTGATCTTGGCCCTGCTCTAACTAGCCTTTAGCTCATCATTCTGGTGGGATATTCATTTTTAATTCTCCAAATTGTGGCGATCAAAGACCCATCTACAACAGGTAAGATACTGATTGTTCATAACTCATCTACGGAGCCCCACTTTAAGAGATCTAAACTAACCCGTTAAGATTTGGCAAAACACTGACTGTGTGCTGCTAATTTTAGCTTTAAATTGCATTTACTGCTTTAAATCTTCTGTGGAGGTTTTACAATGATTTTAAACACAAAGGGAAACAACGCTTCATCAGTAATAATAGCTTTGATCTAATAATGCTGTGTGCTGTTGGGCTAAAAACCCAATGTTAGCACAACAAGTAAAGACAATGTGCTATTTGTTGTAAATAAATTGTAATATTATTTTACCGTTATCTAACTTTTGTCCTGAAGAGCTTTAAAACAACACAAAAGCATTTCTTCTGTACATAAAGTTCTGGTATTTAACAGCTTCTTTGCAGTTGATCTTTGTTCTCTCTGTTGTATTAGAAGCAATGCTGTGTATCCAAGCAGTAAATTTAATTACAGTTGAGAATAGCTTGAAGAGCAGAGGTTCCATTTATTACCTGACAATTTAAAGATAAATCAATTGTAAAAATAAACAACCAAAACACAAAGAATCTTTAGTTGTTATTCATACATGTATTTTAGATGAATAATGAAACTATGAAGAGCTGTAAAGTTGTAGTTTTCCTGTCATTGACTCTAGACACACTCCAAACTTCACTGATGGACACTGCACTGACATGATCCCTTACATATACCATTATATGGTTATATTTGAAAATAGTTTATCATCTGTATATAAAGTTATGTTCAGTATCAATAAATCATTTTTCAACTATTTTTGTTTTTGTTCTTCTCATGCATACTGAAACTGTCTTAGCTTAAGGGGATTATTAGATCTTTTGAAGTGCAGCTCGGTAGACATGTTATGAACAGGCAATATCTTACCTGTTGCAGATCAAGTTTTACAAGTCCTTAGTTTTAAGAAAAAAAAATTTGATCAACTTTATGAGTTGTCAATTTCTCATTGAAGTTACCGTTGGTGTAAGAAACATTTGTAATGTGTGTGTTTGTGTGTGTGTGGGGGGGGGGGGGGGGGGTCTGGGTATTCTCCCACAGAATATTTTGAATAAAGTAGATGACATTTCCTGCATTCTGATGTATTTTAATGTTTTTAAACATATATGTTTATCTACATAAGTAAACACTTGATTCAATAACTTCAATAGATTCAATGTTTCCGATAAGATGGCGCCCGTGTACATGGCTTGCAATCCACCTCTGCTGATGGTGTTCGGATTATTTTTGTTTTGTTCATTTTTTATCTTTGACATAAACTCACTGCTGATGTATGACCGACAACAGCTTCTGGATCTTCGTTTTTCTGTGGTCAATGTCGCTTATTTGGAACAATATGAGCGTACTTCTGCCCCCCCCCCCCTGCTGGCGGACATGCCAGCTTACCTCCGCTGCGCTCCTCACCTGCCTGCCCGGAGATATCGCTTCAGACACCGGGGAAAATGTGCTGGGCGGCTGGTAAAGCTTAAAGCCCTGCACGCTGCATCTTCTTCTTCAGCTGGTGGTCATGGTTTCCATCGCCAGCTTCCCGCGTGCCCGGACCAGGTAAGCAAAGGGAGTTGTCAGTGCACGGACCGACCCGGAGGGGCTGTAATTGAAAACCTCCAGCCATTAGCGCACGCAAACTCCACCACTGCTGGCTCCACTTTGGACAGTATCCGGATGTGTTTGGTCAACGTGTGTGCCCAGACCAGGTAAACAACGGGAGTTGTCGGTGCACGGACCGACCCGAAGGGGCTGTTATTGAAAACCTACGGCCATTAGCGTGTGCAAACTCCACTGCTGTTGGCTCCACTTTGGACAGTATTCGGATGTGTTTGGTCAACGCAAGATCTGTTACCAACAAAACTTTTATCCTCAGGGACTACTTTCAAGAGCAGGATTTGGACTTTCTCTGCATCATTAAGACTTGGATGTCTCCGGGTGAGTCCAGTGCCTTGACGGAATTATTGCCACTGAACTGTCTGTACTTTAACGCACCGCGGCCATCAGGCCGACACGTTGGTGGATTATTAACAATATTCAAATCAACTTTTGACTGTAAACAACTGCCCATCCCAGTTTCCCGTGCCAGTTTTGAGCTGAGCATCTTTGAACTCGGACATTCACCTCCGACGTTATTTGCACTTGTCTACCGCCCACCTCTCTCTAAGGATTTCATAAATGAGTTTTCTGACTTCTTGGCTGAAATCACACCAAAATATGATCATGTTTTCATTATTGGGGACTTTAATTTGCACGTGTGCTGTCCTGAGAAGCCCTTGGTTAAGGACTTTTTAGATTTATTTGACTTATTTAATCTAACGCAGCATGTAAACGGTCCCACCCAAGAGCGTGGACATATACTGGACCTTGTTTTAACTCATGATGTGACTGTTAGTAATCTTGAAATTGGTGATAAGGTTTTTTCAGACATGCCAGTCCGGTTTGAGTTCACCCTCCCCCATCTAATTCCTAAGCCGTGCATTCCTGCACGTCGCAGCCGGACCATTAACCATTTCACTGCTGCACGTTTCACAGATGTTTATAACTCTGAAATGATAATTCAGCCCCCGGTGTTTCTCACCACCACTGAGGAGCTGACATCCCAATTCAACTATGTCTGCTTAAAGACTATGGATCATGTTGCGCCTATTAAAATCGAAAAATCAAAACTCAGATCAGAACCTTGGGTGAGTGACGTCAGCAAGGCCGTTAGGCAGCAATGTAGGAGGGCGGAGTGCAAATGGAGGAAAGACGGGCTGCAGGTCTCTTTTCAAATACTTAAAGAGAGTTGGCGCTGTTATCAGAAAGCAGTGAAAGCTGCTTAATCCAAATACTTTTCTGATATCATTACCTCAAACTCTCACAACCCACGTGTCCTCTTCTCCACCCTAAACTCTGTACTCCACCTCACTGAACCATCACATCTGGAAGCCTCGACTGAGCTGTGTGACCATTTCCTACATTTCTTTTTGGAAAAAATTGCGACCGCCCGGGCTCTCATTTCCCCTCCAACTCATGACCCATCCATCCCACAGCAATCTGTAGCTCCTTTTGACTATTTTGAACCCATCACTCTATCTTCTCTAGAGCAGATCATATGCAGCTTGAAACCTTCTGGTTCCCCCTTTGATGTGGTCCCCCCTAGACTACTAAAGGAGGTTTTTCCCACTCTAGGTCCGTCCATTCTTGATATAGTAAACAGTAGTTTATCCACTGGCGTGGTGCCAAAATCATTTAAACATGCTGCTGTCCAGCCTCTCCTGAAAAAACCAAACCTTGACCCCTCAGTCGTGTCCAACTTCCGGCCTGTCTCCAAACTCCCATTTGTTTCTAAACTACTGGAGAAAATAGTCGAGTCCCAGTTGAAATGCTTACATGAGGATCACACCATCTTAGAGCTATTCCAATCTGGCTTTAAACCTCTCCACAGCACTGAAACTGCCCTATTGAAGGTTTTTAATTACATCTTCATATCCACAGATACCGGCGATTCTGTGCTGCTTGTCCTATTGGACCTCACAGCCGCCTTTGACACCATCGATGATGAGATCCTCATTGCTAGGTTGGAGCAGTGGGTGGGCATCATAGGGTCAGCCCTCAATTGGTTCAGATCTTACCTCACTGACAGATCCTTTTGTGTCTCCATCAAGGATTTTAGTTCTGCAGCAGCAGAGCTTAAATGGGGGGTTCCGCAGGGGTCCTGGGTCCCCTCCTATTCTCTTTATACCTGCTGCCGCTTGGTGCTATTTTCCGGAAACACAACATGCCCTTCCACTTCTATGCCGATGACTGTCAAATTTACTTCCTCCTAAGACACAATGGTACATGCTCTATTCAACCTCTGCTCAACTGCCTGGCTGACATCATGGACTGAATGGCTTTAAACTTCTTAAGTTTCAATGAAAAGAAGTCTGAAGTCATGTTATTCCCTCCCAACGACATGATCGCAAACCACTGCATCGACCTCTCCGCTCTAACCCTGTCAGAAAAACAAAGAGTCACTTATCTGGGTGTGATAATGGACCCTTCCCTGAAACTTAACAGTCACATAAACATGATTGTTAAATCATGTTTCTTCCAACTGAGGCAGCTGTCTAAACTGAATCCCATATTATCCAAAAATAACCTGGAGACAGTAATACATGCATTCATTACATCTAGGCTTGATTACTGCAATTCGCTCCTGTTTGGTATCAGTCAGACCTCCATTGCACGACTACAACTGGTCCAGAATGCAGCAGCCCGATTTTTAACCAGCACAGGCAAAAGAGAGCACATTACACCAGTTTTGGCCTCACTGCACTGGTTACCGGTTCACCTTCGAATCCAGTTCAAAATACTACTGTTTGTCTACAAATCGCTGAACAGTGTTCCCCCCCCCCCCCCCCCCATCTCTCTGATCTGCTACAGCCGTATGTCCCACCACACCCCCTGAGGTCAGCGGACCAGTTGCTCCCTCACAGTTCCAGGAACTCGTCTTAAGCGCAGAGGTGACAGGGCCCTCTCTGTAGCAGGACCAAGACACTTTGGAACGAGTTACCTCTGCTTGTCAGACAGGCCCCCTCCCTCTCGGTGTTCAAGTCCCGTTTAAAAACCCACTACTATTTAGCATTCAACACCAGATGATCTGTGTTTTGAACCTGTATGCTCCGCACTGGTTAGTCGTCATTATCTGCATCATTTTTATGTCTATATTCTGATTTACTTCATTTTGTATTTTGCTTTGTGTGTTGTCTGTTGTTCTGTCTGTACAGCACTTTGGTTGGCCTTGTCGCTGTTTTAAGTGCTCTATAAATAAAATGGTATGGTAATAACTATTTTAGAAAGCACTGAAATCCTGCATGGGGTGTGGT